AGGGGAGGGGAGGGGAGGGGAGGGGAGGGGAGGGGGCTGGTAGAGAGGGTCAGGGTCAAGGGTGTGAGGGTTCCTCAGCCTAGGCATCTGGCCTGTAACTTCCCACATCAGGAGTCAAGGGAGTGTATGGGGCTCCCCATGCAAGGACGGAGATAGCAGGGGCCCAGGGAGTAGCACATGATGAAGCCACCTGGACAGAGGCGCCCCTGGATCAGGTGGGCTGGGGCCGGGGCCGGAAGCCGTATGTTGGGACAGGAGTTCTGAGCTGGAAACGGGCAGCTCTGGGTCCCAGAAACGGTTCTTCTCCCTTGTGATTGTGAGCAAATCGCCTAACCTCTCAAAGCGCGACTTCCTACCATGTTGAATGAGAGGGCAGATGCTAATTTCTGGTCTCTTCCTTTCCTGGGGTGGGCAAACCCCAGGCTGAGGACTGGAGGCTGGATGTGGGGTGCTAATGGCTCCATTCTGTGTGGCCTTCTGCTTCCTCCAGAGGGCAGCACAGGTAGTGGAAGAGGCCCTGATCCTGGAAAGCCCCCGGAGCTGGGGCAGCTCTCTCGGCCTTGGCCCCTGCTCTGCCATCTTGAGAGCCAGCAGCTGCAGCCAGGAAGTGGGGACCGCCACTCTGCGGCCACCATTTATCCTCAGCCTCCAGTGGCCGGTTCTCGAGGAGCCAGGGCCTCCCCTGGGCTCACAGGGTGCACTGCAGCCCCTCAGTCCCTCTTCTGCCCCTAAACCCACAGCCCAGCCTCCTTTCCGCTCCGAGCAGAGCAGCCCAGCCACAGAGGCCATTTCCTTATGAGGTTCTCTGGCCGGAGAGATGAGTAGCCAACGGAGCTTCAGGGAAAGAACACAAACTGGGGAGCGGGTCGTCCCAATAAAAGAATACTTACTAACCTCCATCTGTCTACTACACATTTATTACAGACTACTGCTCACCTGGCATTGCTCCATACGTTGGGGTCTGGCAGTGCAGGGGCCCATAGATGTCGATCTGTTTGAGAGGGGCCGGCACCCACCTCACAGGAGGGACAGGCAAGGCTAACAGCAAACTCCTCTCCCCAACGTCTGCTGTTCTTATGCACCTTCCCCTCAGTTCCTTCCTCAGCGAGCCAAGGCTGAGCCCTGGAGCCCTCCTGTTTGCATTTCTGGCTCAAAGACTGTAGCTGGCTCTCTTCTTGCAGCTGGACTTCTGCGGTCCACCAACCAGCTGCTGGGATAGTCTGGGTCAGGCACAGGAACAGTGGCAGGCCTGGGGGCCTGGGGCCTGACATGACAGCAGAAAGTGTGCTGCTGGGACAGAAAGGTTGCTGAGGGTGAGGGTGCGTGTGAAGTCTCTTGTGCTAAATCCGAGCAGGTGAACAGCACGTGGAAGTTACAAAACCCTTTCACTTTTGTTCTCTTATTATGATCCATGAGGTAGCTATTATCCCAAGAGATGAGGAAGCTGAGGCTGGGGAGTGGAGGCGGGTGGGAGGGCTAAGTCCACATGCTCACTGCCTCTACCTCATGGCCCAGGGGCTTCCTGGAGACAGAAGAGCCGGAGGGTGGCCTTGGTCCACTCAAGGCATAGATGGTTGCCCCTGGGTCTTGGTCACTGAGCTTGTGATGCAGAGTGTAATTCCTGCCACGGTGAGCACCATGCCTGCGAATGCTCCTGGGATAATGGGCAGAAATTGAGAGGCTCTGAGACCAGCCATGCCAGTAGGAGCTGGTGCAGGGCTGAGGGAAGGGCTCAGACAGGGTCTGTCCCCAGACTACCCAGGGGAAGGAAACTCTGATGGCCACAAGGAAGCAGTGGAGCTGCAGAAGAAAGGGGCAGGATTGGGGAAGATCCTCTCCTCACCGGGCCAAGGGAGATGGCTCTGGAAAAAACTAACCCAGGGGTGTCAAAGCCCAAGTAGTGGCTCCCCAAACTGGCAGTGGCCAGACTTACGTTTTCCACCAATTTCTTCTCCAAGGACCTTCCCAACAATCAGTGTAAAGATGATGGCCAGAGAGTTACTGATGGGCACAGCTAGGGTCAGATCTGAGTGATCAGAATGAAAAGAATCTCTGAGATGCAAAAAAAAAAAATGTCTTTCTAGGCACAAAACATTTTCATTACATCATCAAGACAGTCTTTTAAAAAGGGTATCTCGGGGCTTCCCTGGTGGTGCAGTGGTTGAGAGTCCACCTGCCGATGCAGGGGACACGGGTTCGTGCCCCGGTCCGGGAAGATCCCACATGCCGCGGAGCGGCTGGGCCCGTGAGCCATGGCCGCTGAGCCTGCGCGTCTGGAGCCTGTGCTCCGCAACGGGAGAGGCCACAACAGTGAGAGGCCCGCGTACCGCAGAAAAAAAAAAAAAAAAAGGGTATCTCATGACCCCACTTTCCAGATGAAGTCACAGCAAAGCTCAGGATTCAAACTAAGGTATCCTGACTCTAAATTCAGTGCTCCCTCAGGGTTCCAGCATGAAGATCTGAGCTACAAGGTCTGGGACCACCTTGGTTTGCTGGTAAGGATGAGATCTTTGCACTCAAAGAGAACTTCTGAGATCTCAAGGACATCTGGACAGACAAGTACCCAAAACCCATAGGATGCAGTAGCTATTAACACCAAACACATTTATCAAGTATACATTATGTGCCGGGTGCTTTGTGCACACATCTCATTAATCTTCACAAAATCACTGCAGGAAGAGCATTAGCATCATTCTGCATAGATAAAAGAATCAAAGGCTCAAAGACATCACATAAATTGAGGCAAATTGAGGATTTAAACCAAGGTCTGCCTGACTCCAAAGCCTGTGCCCTTATTGAATCTATTTAGATGGATAAGGACAAACCAAAACTGCAGGTGAAGCAAATTTTGTTTCTGTTTCAGCTCAGACTTGGGCCTTACGGAATTACAGAAGAGAAAAAATGTCAGCGGTAGGAAGCCAGGTACAGGACAGGCCCCACAAGGCTGGGCCCTAAGTGGAGGTCACCACAGTCCAGGGTCTGTTCCTTAGTTCTGAAGCCCCGAGGGACTGACTTACAAGAAACAAACTTCAAAAACACTAATGGAGTTAAGAACACTGTTAACTTAAAATTTATTACACTTAAATTTTGTACACCTAAAGCTTTTTAAGAAGATAGATTTTATGTTAAGTGCTCTTAAACACATACGAAAAAACAAAACAAAAAACGAAATCAGAAGCTGAGTTACTAGTTTACAAGACTCATAACTGCCAGGCAGACTGTGCATGTTGGCTTCTCAGCACCCTCTTTCCCAGCCCTCCCGGGCCTCACCTGCTTCAGGTAGCGGAGGAGAGAACCGTGCAGCTCCTCAGCCCCTGCGAGGCCCCACCGAGGCTGGCATTAGCCATCCAAGAAACTGACACAACAGCTACCTACTCGGAGCTCCTTCCTTAAGCTTTCACACTTTACATCGAGTGCAGTGGCTGCTAAAGTCTGGTTTGCAACAGTAGATTGGGGAGGGAAGCAGCATGGTACAAGGGAAGAGCAAGGGCACTGGAGTGAGGCTGACCCAGATTTCCCTATGTCACCTTGGTTAGGTCATTCAAACACTCTGAGCCTGTGCCCTACATGAAAAACAGTGATAGCAAGATAACAACATCACCTTACAACAGGGTTGTAAGATGAAATATGATAACATGTGTATATCTTTGGCTGAATATATCCTTAATAAACAGAGACCACTGTTTTGATTATTAGAATGGGTGGGCGTTAAAGGATACAGAGTAGGTGGTGAGGTAATAGGATCCTAAAATTCCAATTTGCTCAAAACTTGGTAAATGGCTAACTGCAGTCAGCTGACCAGAGGGTTCAGCATTCTGGGCAGCAGGGAGTGCCAGAGGCTTTCAAACTTTCCTTTAAATGAAGTCCTATGAGAAGCCCAAAATATAAGACAGTTGAAAGCGGAGTGACTCTAGTTGAAGCTGACGTGGCAGGTCTGGAGGTCGGCCTATCCGCTCACCCTCCTATGGCCTCTGAGGGGTTTCCCAGGGCTACCTGGGACCCAAACTCCCGTCAAGTCTCTGGGGGGCCGAGGTGAGACTCCAGGAGATGTGAAATTCTCATAGCAAAGTTCAAGAGCATAAACTTTAGTAATATGTGGCTTCAAATCCTTCTGCACGGACATGCAGTGGGACTTAGAGATGCAATAAGTTGCCCAAAGTTCTGTAACTTCATCTCCTAGGTGGAGACAATCATGCCTACTTCATAGGGTCGAGATGAGAATTTTTTAAAATGTGTAAAACTAGAACAGTATCTGACGCAGTAGAGGGCAGTCAACAACAGTGGGGGAAAGGCAATTTATGTTTATTGAGCTCCTCCTGGTACAGTGTGCACCAGGTACTCTGCCAAATGCTTTTCACACTGAATTTAATGCTCTCAGTGTTATGAAGCCAGTTGTAAAAAATCAAGGTTCAAATAAGGGACTTGCTCAAGGTTAGGCAGGTAGCAAGCAGTGGAAGCAAGAGTGTCAAAGCCAGCCCTTGGCACAGCAAAATGAACCTTCTTTCTTCCTCTGCCACTGCAAGAGACTGCCAGGCTTCAAACCAACTCTCGTGTCTGGCAGCATACTCATAACCAGCCCACCGTGCCCTACTGCCCAGAGAAGAGGGTGCAACTCGGGAACCAGAGACAGGGGGCTCTCCCTCACTCATGGCAACAAGGTGTTTTAGACACCCTCCCCACAGTGACTCTCTGGGTGGCCTCCACCACTAAGCATAGCAGTTCTAACCTAGAGACCTACCTGTTGATGCCAAGGTGAGGTAGTAGAGAAGGGAGCCACACTGGTTGAGGGAAAAGGGCAGCAGGTACTGGAAACAGAAGAAAACTGCAGTCAGTGTGATTGCTTAACTGAGCAGTGCTGCCTTCTTTGAGCTTTGAGATATGCCTTTCCTCGGAGGGAGGGGTAGCTATAAGGGCCTAGGGCCTAAGCCCTCTGAAAAGAACCCTTCCAGGGCAGAGGGAACATCACTGAGTGAATTCCATGCCTTTGCCCTGAATGCCCTCCCCCTCAGCCCTGCTGGTTCCTATCCTCCCCATCCTGCAAGTCCCTGAATGCCAGTGTTACTCTCTCCAAGAAGCCCTCCCCTGGTCCCCTAGCTCCAGCCTCCCTCCTGTGAACTCATGCAGCACTTAATCGGTACCTCTCTCAAAGCCCTTAGCCCTAAGAGAAGGTTGTGTCTATGTCTTGTCTTTCCCACTAGCCTAGACTGGCAGCGTTGGGGTCAGAGGTAGTTCTCCATATCCTGCCTCCCCAGGGCCAATTTGAGCCCTAAGCGCCCCCTCCGGAAAGGTCTGTTGGAGGGATCACCATAATAAAATATTAATAATAGCAGCTCAAAACATCGTAGATTTGAGCCCTAATTATGTACTAGGCCCAATGCTAAGTGCTTTATGTGCCTCACCTCACCTAATACTCACAACTGCCCCATGAGATGATTACATTATTCCCATTTTACAGATGAGGAAACTGAGGCTCAAGGCAGACAAGGGATTCATCCAAGAGCTTCTAGCGAGTAAGTGGTGGAACGCAGATTCTGACCCTGACCTGTTTGACTCCAGAGACCAAATTCTTAGCGGCTACCCCCGAGAAAGGGGTCATTCACCGACCAACCTCAGTATTCAAGAAGAGGGTCTTCGTCTCCTGCAGCAACTGCCGGGCCCAGGTCCGCTCATGAACCTGCTGCAGGTGCGAGGAGGCCCGCTTCAGCAGCGGCTGTGTGCCACCCCACAGAGCGGCCACCAGCACCAGAGCCAGCACCTGCCCTGGATGGAGATGCGAGTGACACTCCCCGCCCCCCGCCGCCCCACCGCACGGCCCCAGCCCTCCTCCGGCCTCCCATCCCCAGCCCGCCGCCCCCACAGCGCTTCTTTGCTCTCCAACGCCCCGGGTGTGATTGGCGGGTAGGACAGACCCCGGGAGGCCGAGGAGGTGGATCCAGGAGCCCAGGTTCGGGATTGCAGCAGTGGTCGGGGTTAGGTGGTGGAGGTGGAGTAGAAATGAATTCCGGGTGGGAGTCTGGAAGCCTGGGGAGGGGCGGGGCCCGCCTACCCAGGGTCGCCGCCATGGCAACGCCGCTCCTCTCCACTTCCGGGAACGAAGGGGCGGATACCCGTAATCCGGAAGTGGTGCCAGAGCCTCTTCCGGTTCTGCTCGTGTTGCTTTTTTCCTCGCGTCACCGCCGGCATGGTGAGTTCCCCTGAGTTAGAGTTGTTGCCCTGGGGGGTCCGGGCCGGGGCCGATTCTGGGCGCTGACACTCCCGTCCTGTCCCCACAGAAGCCGATCCTGCTGCAGGGCCATGAGCGGTCCATTACGCAGATTAAGTACAACCGCGAGGGAGACCTCCTCTTCACGGTGGCCAAGGACCCTGTGAGCGTCGGCCGGAGGGCGGGCCGCCGGGACAGTGCGGAGGGGGCCCGGGAGGGGGCGAGTTCATTCTGCCGGGGCGAAGGGTGGACAGGCCAGTTTTGCCGCGAGAGAGAACCCAAAGAGCACCCCATTCTGAGAAGTAGGGAGAGACCATCCCGGGATTAGGAGGGCGAGAACATTAAACCTGGAGCGGTGGGAAAGGACTCAGTTGTTGGTAGAAGGAAGGACTAGCCGGGGAGAAGAGCAAGGGACCTTGTGGAAGGGGAAGGGGGACGAGGGTCAGCTTGCTCAGGGAACGGAGAGGAGACCATTCTGGGGAAGAACAAAACTATTCTGCAAGGATAGGGGAACAGACCACCTGAAGAAAGGGAAAGTTGATCCTTGGGTGGCGAGGGACACAGAGGCCTTAATGAAGATGTCCCTGGTATCATTTCAGCCAGCCCCTTCCTGCTGCTCACTGACTTCAGACAGCCCCTCACAGTACTGCCTTTTGAGGCACCTCCATATGGAGGAAGTTAACTCGAGTGGCTAAAAGTGAGGGCTCTGAAACCAAACAGACCTGATTTGAATCCTGAGTGCTGCGTTCACTAGCAGTGTGACTTTGAGCATGTCGTTTAACCTTTATAAACTTAAAAGTGTCCCTTTTTACAAAATATGGGTAGGAATACTGCTTCTTTCTGGGGTTGTCTTTAAGATTAATGAGATTATTCAGGTAAGGAGTTTAGTGTGTGTGAGTGCCTAATTAGTGTTAGTCACTTATATTTTAAATTCCTTAGACAGTATTTTATTGGAGCTACCCTTTGAAGAAGGCGTTACTGTCCTGACCATTTTACAGATGGGAAAACTGAAGTTCAGAGGGGAGAAGCACTAATTTTGAGATAATACAGTGAGAGAGTAGCAGAGCAGGGATGGGAACCCAGGCTTCCCTACTACCAACTGCTCCCATTTGGACAGAACACCAAAGCTACTGTTTTGCTAGGCTTGCACCTGACTTGACCTTTTATTTTTCTGAGGGTTTAGGAGTCTGGGAAAGGGCCGGTATAGTGGCAAGTGGAGGCTTTTTGCAAGCCTCCTGACTCCCTTGCTGCTTACCTGCGGGAAGGAGGAGAATCCAGGAGTTGGTCTTTTTACCAGCAGCCTGCTCTTTCCCAAGAGATGAGCAGGAGAGGGCAGAATCTGGCCTAGGTAGAGGCTGCTGGGGGCTCCTGGGGCAAAATAGGAGGCTGTTGCTCTGCCTGAGATGCCTATCACCCTGTCATATTGTCATTGACACCTCCAGATTGTCAATGTATGGTACTCTGTGAATGGTGAGAGGCTGGGCACCTATATGGGCCATACCGGAGCTGTGTGGTGTGTGGACGCTGACTGTATCCTTGTCTTTGCTCTGAGTCTGTGCTCCCAGGGTCTGCCAGCAATGGAGAGGCTGCTGACTTGGAGTTGGGAGCTTGGGTTGCTCTTGTGGGTCTAGAGAATGATGCTACCTACCTCCTTGGTCTGTTCATTGGTTGGGGGAGCATTTAGGACAAGTTCCAGTTCTGGATGAGGAGGTTAGGATGAGAGAAGAAGGAAGGCTCTCTGGTGCTGAACAGGGAGGTGATTCAGTTGGCCTTCCAAGAGGACAAGGGCTCAGGTGAACTCTGTCATGCTTCTTAACACCCTCTTCAGGGGACACCAAGCATGTCCTCACCGGCTCAGCTGACAACAGCTGTCGTCTCTGGGACTGTGAAACAGGTAAGCCTGAATCCTTCACTTTTACAGCAAACAGTGAGGACCTACAGGTTTCCCCAGAACCTGTTCACCTTGTTGAGGTGAACAGGTTCTGGGGAAATAGAGATAAATCCAGAGATGGTTCTTAGTCTAGGGAAAAAGAGACAGACAAGACAATAAAGAAGACAGAGGAGAAAAGAGGCATACAGTGAGACATAAGCCATGTTAGAGGAAGCAAAGAGCACTGTGGAAGGCCGGAGGGGGGCAACTGAATGCCTGGAATGGGGGTGGGAACAGCCTGGGAAGGTTTCCCAAAGTAAATGTCATATGAGCTGGGGCTTGAAGGATGAGAAAGAGGTCATCGCTCTGGAACATGCAGGAATGAAAGCAGGGCAAGTATCATATCCGAGCCATCTGATCTGGTGGGAGTTCCTGCTTCTTGGGGGATGAAATAGACAGCAGTGGGGAAGCTGAGGCAGGCTAGGGCCAGAACAGGCCTTGAATGCAAACTCAGGAGCGTGGCTTTGTTCTCTAGGATTTGGCATGCTGTGGAGGTCCCTGAGCAGGGAAGAGCGTGTTTAGCTTTAGC